GTGGTGGGAGAAAAAAAGACAGAAAACTAAAAAAGGAGCAAACTACTCCAGATGCTGGAAATCTGTATTAAAAACAAAACAAAACAAAAAAATGCTGGAAATCACAGCAGGTTAGGCAGCATCCATGGAGAGAGCAAGCTAATGTTTATAGAGTTTAGCTGACTCATCAGAACTGGGCATCAGAGCCAGCTCTGATGAAGAGTCAGCTAAACTCGAGAAATACTAGCTGGCTGGCTCTCTCTCCATGAATGCTGCCTAACCTTCTGTGATTTCCAGCATTGCTTTATTTTTCTGAAAACAAAAAAATCTGGTGAGGGTAGGTTTCAAACCCTCAACCTTGAGAGTTTGGGATTTGCTTATCCTCTGGCATGTGCAGACTGTTCCAGCAAACACAGCAGAAGAAATCACTTGTTCAATTCAATGATTGAGAAAGCATTTTAGCAAGGCATCAGGGAGCTTGAAGAGCATGACTAAGCATCAAAATCATTGTGGACGTTCACTGCAGCCAAAGAGGTTTCTCATATGTCCAGGATTCTGTCCGTGCCACTGTACCAGATTCTGCAGCTGACAGTGGGATTGCTCTTGTGCAGTGGTTCTTCCATTCTAAAAATAATTCTTGCACAGATTTTATACAAACTCACCTTTAATTCTTTCTTCAGAAGTCCTGTAGTGGTGATATGTAGTAAATTCTATGGGGATCTGGATTAACTCTAAGTCCACGTCTGTTATTAGTAAGCTCATGGTCCTAGGAGACTTCTATGACCATGCGGGGAAAGTCAAAGATAACGTGGAAAAAAGGTATTCTGGATAACCATGGGGTCAGTAAATGCAAATGTCATGTTAATCCATTACCAACAGGATGCTCAGACAAGTCAATAAGCACAAGGCTATGTAGATGCACGCAAGGGAGGCGATGGCCTAGTGGTACTATTGCTGGACTGTTAATCCAGAGACCCAGATAATGTCCTGGGGATCCGGGTTCGAATCCCACCATGGCAGATGGTGGAATTTGAATTCAATAAAATATCTGGAATTAAGAATCAAATGATGACCATGAACCCATCGTCGATTGTCAGGAAAAACCCATCTGGTTCGCTAATGTCCTTTAGGGAAGGAAATCGGCCATCCTTACTGGTCTGGCCGACATGTGACTCCAGATACACGGCAATGTGGTTGACTCTCAAATGCCCTCTGGGCAGTTAGGGATGGGCAATAAATGCTGCCTATCAGCGATGCCTTCATCCCGTGAATGAATAAAGAAAAAAGGTAACATCGGTAAACGATTATCATTGTGTCAGAGAGATCTCCAAGATATAGAAAATACTCATGCAAGAGGTGTAGAATGTTGGATAGATAACACAGCAATTCCTAACTTGCAAGTTTCTTCAGCTCAACGCCAGCAACCAAAAGCATTTCAAACAGATAAACTGGTAACATCATTTCTGACAATCAGTTTCAGAATACTCTTCATAAAAAGCTCAAAGCTAACATACTCTTAGATGGAGACTGTTTTGAGAAGTGGAGCAATTTTAAATACATTGTTACTGGAACAACAAACAATGTTCTTGTACCAAAGGAGGCAGTACATCAAGGTTGATTTGATAAAATGACGAAATCATCTCTCAAATCCTGCATGGCAAAACAATTTGATCTTCGCCTCCAAAACAGACATGTTCCAATACCTGAACAGTATGGTTCAGAGAGAGCTGCGAGATACACAAGGTAAATCTAGGACAGGTTCCACATCATTGGTCTCTGCTGACAGTTCATCCTTAAAAAAACAAAAATCTGAAAAAAAAAATCAGGCAGTAACAATATAGACAGATGGGGAGAACACCAGCATTTTGTTGTACAGAACTACCACAGTCAACCACACAGCCAACAATCCTGGTTTGACTTGCCTTCAAAAAAAAAAATTACCAATGAACTCAAGAAAGGCTTCAGCAAAAGACAGAATTCCACCTGAATTTAAGGCAGCAGGTCCTGACACGATAGAGGCCTTCAAATTAGGTCCTCTCATGCATTTGGCAACCTTTCATCATTCCGAATAACTTTCACAATGCTATAATTTTTGCTGTCTAGTAAAACAAGGGTAGAATAGCAGCATATATCAACTACCGAGCTCTCACTTCTCTGCATAGCAACTTTGCTTGTATCATCCTTAAAAACTTAGCATTGTGGCAGAAACAAAACTACCTGTGGTACTGTGCAGCTTTCACCCAGGATGCAACACTGTTGATCTGATACTCTGAAAATTCCAGAAAACTCGAGCAGAATATGGTCCTTTACTTCAGTTGTGTTTTCCTCAAAATAACATTGACAGTTAATACAATGATCCTCTGGAAAATCCTAGAACAGTCCAGTTTCTCAAGAAAATCTGTCAAGATTGTAACTGTGACAGAATGCTAGGTCAGGTCCTCTTAAATAGTAAAGCATCAGCTCCCTTTGGAGTTCTAAAATGGAGTGAAGTAGGGCTGTTCTAGCACCAGTCTTCAACTATGCTGACAGTGCACTGAGAGTGCATCTCATATCTTGAAGAAGGCTGGTGCTAGAACATTCTAGGTAAATAAGATAATAGTTGAACACAATGCAGTCTAAAATCACAAATAATCAAAAATATATTCAATAGAATTTGTTAACACAAAAATTAAAAATGTCAAACAAATCTCTATAGAATCCAATAGAAAATCTTCCTATAATTCTTCCAGCAATGCTATAAAAATTGAGCAAATCAAACAATAGTTGCTCTTCCATGCAAGGAAAAATTGCAGTCTGTTGAGTGAGCAAAGTTGGAACTGCTATATGTAGTCGTATTGCTGCATTGCATAACAGGCACACCAACATGTTAAATGTCTTAGGAATACATTTACAGTTTGTTTTGCAAATTTTGGAACACTGCCACAAAATGTCAGTTGTTGACTTTTCTCCCTCAGAAGATTTCCATAACTTACAGAAATTCAAGAGATGACTGTAAATGCAGCTAAGTACATTGTGAAAAATGAAAGTAAATTTTCCAGTGTATAAATATTTGACTTGAGTATTCAAAGTATCAGAATTTTCTTACCTGGGTAAAATGATACCTTCACAACAGCTGCGAAATGTTGGTCACTGACTTATTAAATTCAAGAGGACCAACTCACTTTATCACAAAGTGCTGAAAGTAGCAAATTACAATTACCTTGGCTTCTTAATTTTTACTTCTTTAGATTTGTCACCCAGCGTCTTTAAACTGAAATTGAAGACAAGGAAATATTTAAAATATAATAGATGCAGATAGCAGTAAATAAATGTTAACATAGTACTGGAACAACGTGCGTTTTCCAGGCTTCTAGTTTGCAAACAATTCATTTCAATTCTCAAAGTGAATTCCTAGTGTGTAAATATTACTTAGAGGTCAAACAAGTAACTAAATGCACAAATATTGCACTGTTTCCTTTCATAGGTTTTAGAGACATGGACGCATGAGGGTCAATTTTCACACGACTAACTCATATCACACTTTTAGCCAGCTACAAACTGATTTCATGTCTCCCATAATCATTAATAGGATATTTCGTATACACTTCCCAAGTGCCACCTTGAAAATCCATTCCCCCCCACACAAACCCACAATTATTAAATTCTCAGAACGGATATCCATTTTGGAAGATTCCCCCTTCATAAGGGATAGCGTTGATTGCAGTGGTTTTGAAAAGCATCGAGTGTTAGTGCAGTCATTAACGGCCCGTAAAAATAACCTGGTTTTCTGCAATGGTGGAAAAGTATCTTTACCCACTCGAGTTGCCAACTTCAGTCAGCCATTACAGGAAAGTTTCCAGGAAATAAATCATACCCGCAGCTCATACCTTCAGCTGACAGTGGAAGAACAGAATGAGCAAAAGTCCCAAGAATCAAGCCCCATCAGTTTTTAACGGAAATCTTCACTTGGCGTCACCCGCACGTACTCAGCAGTTATGGAGAAGAAAAAGTGTTCCCCTACAGCTCTGCTCTCACATGACTGTCACACTGCTTTCAACTCAAGATTTCCAAAGCATGCAGGAAGTGTAGTCGGAAACCTAAGTTTACAAAGTTTTTAAATGAGCAAAGAATTCTTCCCAAACTGATGTTTATGTATAACTTTGCTGAAAACCAACTTCTGATGAGACCGAAACTTGTTTTTAAACTTCAGAAAGTGGGTGGATTTCGCAACTTGACACACAAATTCCTTTATAGCCTAGGGTCACGGCAACTACTCTTCACCGATAAAAAAAAATATTTCGAATACATACAGTACACAAAGTCATCAGTAACCTGACTGAACTCGGTTTAAATGTCTCTCATTCAAGCATAGGAAGGAGTGTCCCCAGCCCTGATTCTAACCTTGGGCCCGGCTCCCCCGCACACAACCCGGTCTGTTCCCCGCTGCCTCTCCTACCCGCTGCTGAAATCCTGCTGCGCACTCAGCAGCCGCTCTTTGAAATTCTCAAACATCTTTTCCGGCTTCTAGCATTGACTAAGTACGGGACTGAGCCACTGGAAACAAGTCATCCCTACAAGACTAAGTCTGCTTGACTGGCAGCGCCGCCGGGAAACGGGTGGGCCTCTGTCACACGTACTTCCGGCACGTTCCAAGGGGCGGGGGAGGGAAGGGAATCGTCTCCTAGCGACGGACGGCCGCTTGACGCGGTTAATGGCCGGCTGGCGGGGAATGTGGACGAAACCTGGTCTTCGAAGGACGAATTATTGCTCAGTTGTTGGGCAGGTATTGTCACTTTCTTAGGTCAGTTCCACACGACGATCGGTTCTGAGGTTCGCTTTTCTGCTCAATAACTTAGAAGTGGTAATGTACCGACTACAACTTGCATTTATCTGGTGTCTTCAACGTAATAAAACGCCCCATTGCGTTTCATCAAATACAATTAGAGTCCAAGTCCATAAGCAGATATTAGAGCGGAAACCTGATCAAAAAGGTAGGTTTAAAGCGGTGCCCTTAAAGACAGGTGGTAAGGTTCAGCGGGGGACTTACTGAAATTGGAGTCATAGATCATAGAATCCTTACAGTGTGGAAACAGGCCCCTGGACCCAACAAGTCCACACCGACTCTCAGACATAGAGTTGTATAGCATGGAATCAGACCCTTCAGTCTAGCTTGTCCATGCCTACCAGATATCCCACATTAATCTCGTCCCATTTGTCAACATTTGGCCCACATTCCTCGAAATTCTTCCAATTTATATATCCAAACAGATGCCTTTTAAATGTTGTAATTGTACCAGCCTCCGCCAATTCCTCTGGCAGCTCATTCTATACCTGCACCACCCTCTGCATGAAAAGGTTGCACCTTAGGTCTCTTTTATATCTTTCCCCTCTCACCTTAAACCTATGTCCTTTAGTTTTGGACTCCACTACCCCAGGAAAAAGATCTTGGCTATTCACCCTATCTATGCCCATCATGATTTTATAAACTTCTATAAGGTCACCCTCAGCTGCTTGCTTTACATCTGTGTAATTAATTTAACTTTCTATTGGCAGCCAACCCAATTATATTTTCTCTGAGAAGTTGCAGGTCATTGAGGTATGCAGTTTTGTTCAATTCTTAATGAATCCTAGACATTAAGCATATCTAAAGTTACCACTTCAATAGAACTCAGCTGTCCTTGGACTTAATTGGTGGGTTCTGTTTTCTCTTCCTTTAGGCTATCAGCATTGTTACATTTTGTACATGTTTATGTTACCATGGTACAGTTCCACAAATACATGATTTTATTCCAGTAGTTATTCCCACAAACTTTATAGATATTAAATATTCTGCTTAAAGTGAAGAAATTGAAACTTTTTTCATCTTTATTTGTAGTACAAGTATCAACAGTAGCAACCCACAAATTAGCTAAGATAAAACTAGCTCTTGAAAGTGGTGCCTTAGCTTTGCTACATCAATGTACATTTCCTTCTTCCAAATCAATTACCCTTGCAGCATTTCACAAAGAGAATTTTGATTCATTGTTAGTTCATTTGGAATTATGAATGAATGCTATGTTTTGTATTCATGACCACTAGAACTAAAAGTGGAGCATAAGAATTTAAGAAATAGCCAAAAGGAGTAGGCCATATAAGCAATGAGCCTGCTCCTCCATTCAATATGATCATATCATAAAAAATAGGGGGAGGCGATGGCCTAGTGGTACTATCGCTGGACTGTTAATCCAGAGACCCAGATAATGGTCGAGGAACCTGTGTACCAACTCCCCCACGCCAAATGTTGGAATTTGAATTCAATAAAAAAAGAAAATCTGGAATTAAGAGTCTAACAATGACCATGAATCCATTGCCGATTGTCAGAAAAACACATTTGGTTCACTAATGTCCTTTAGGGAAGGAAACTGCCATCCTTACCTGGTCTGGCCTACATGTGATTCTGGACCCAAGGCATTATGGTTGACTCAACTGCCGTCTGGGCAATTAGGCAGTAAATGTTGCCTGGCCAGCAACAGCTTCATCCGTGAATGAATAAAAAAAGAAAGACCTTGAGTAGGCTATGCAACACCTTGAGCCTTCTCTGTCATTGAGTAAGATCATGGTTGATCTGATTGTGGCCATATCTCCACTTTCCTGCCTGCTGTCCTAACCCTTAACTCCCTTGTAATGTTAGGGTTAAGATTATTTCTGTCTAAGAAATTCTGTCTAACTTAGCCTCAAATATATTTGATGATCCAGCCTACACTGATCTCTTGATGAAGACAATTCCAAAAACTAATAACATTCTGAAAGAAGAAATTTCTCCTTAACTCAGTCTGCAATGGAAGACCACATACTTGTAAATACTGCCTGCTAATTCTGTGATCCCCCACAAGGGGAAACATAGGGCTGAGTCTTGTGCTGCATTTGGGAGCGGAAAGAAAGATAGGTGAGAGAACTTAATTACGTGGGAGGCCAAAGATCAGATCCCAACAGCAAAATTAATTTTTGCAATGGAGTTCTGGGAATTTAAAAGACAGTTCAAGCCTCGGAAGTTCTTTTGCATGTTTCTGCATGTCACACTTATTAAGAGACTAGCTCACCAGAACTAAGTTCCCCTTCACAATTAAGTTCAATGTGAGTAAGCAATACATGCCTTTAGGTTCACACTCCATTTAAATGGCATACACCAGATGAAGTGGTCATCTTCCTGGACCTAGGAGTGCTTAGCTGCTGTGTTGTCACTTTGGGGAGCGTTTACCTATGCCATACCACGATTGAGAGTGGGTCACGCTAGTCTAAGTTGCACAGGGTATGAGGTTGATCAAAGGAGGGAGTTGGAATGTAAGGGGCATGAGTCAAGGATTTTGACCAAAGGTAGAGGCCAGTCTGGGAAAGGATGAAAGAGTTACTGGAGAAGTGTGGAAGTGTTGGTTATGTATTTGAATGGCATTGGTACAGGTGGGAGGCATTTCTTGTGCAAGAAAGGTGTCTGAACTTTACACCCAAAGAGGTAGCTTGGTAGCATCAATAATGGGTTCCAGAGGATTGGACTTAGGGTATTGGGAAGAGGATTAGACAGTGACAGTAAAGGGGGTTGTGAAACAAAGTAAAGTAAGAATTTTATGATCAAAGTCAGCAGATGGATAGTTTCCTTGGAGGGGAGGTTGACTCTAAAGGTGAAGAAAATGGTATTGACAAGGTGGCTAAAGTGAGAGTCGGCATAGGGAGGATGATGTGCATGAGCTCAGAGGGGAGAGCAGACCTGTACAGGATTATTGTAATGGATTCCAATGTAACAGGCGGAGGTTAATTTTAACATGGGGATGATCATGGGAAATGGGGAATCTTGGTGAGTGGCAGGGAGAATAGAAGGTCATCTTTTAAAAGTAAAGCTCAACGTTTTAGCTATATCTAGCTCAGAAGGCAGTTCCTCACTAATGGTGAACAGTCGAGTTGGCAGGGACAGCCTTCAGGTAGGAGGAGCTATAGGCATATTCCAATCAGCTAATTAAAGTCATACCCAATAATGTCAACTAGATGAGACCATAAGATATAGAAACAAAAATAGGCCATTCAGCCTATCAAGTCTGCTCCACCATTTAATGAGATCATGGCTGATCTGATAATCTTCACTCCAGTTTCCTGCCTTTCCCTCCACAACTGTTGATTCCCTTACTGATTAAAACTCTAACTCAGTATTGAATATACTTAACTACACAACATTAACAACCCTCTGTGGTAAAGATTCCCAACCCTCTGAGAGAAGAAAGTCCTCCTCATCTCTTTCTTAAATGTACAGTCTCTTTTTTTGAAATTACAACCTTTGGTCCTAGACTCTTCAACAAGAGGAAAGAAGCATCTTCCCTGTCAAATCCTCTCAGTATTGTCTGTTTGAATTAAGTCACCTCTTATTCATCTACATTTCAAAGAGCATAGATTCAATGTAAACAATCTTTCCTCATAAGACAGTCCCTCCGTACCTGGCATCAGCCTAGTGAACTTTCTTTAGACTGCCTCCAACGGTAGTATATCTTTTGTTAAATAATTTTGTACTGAATTCCTTTTTAGATAAAGGTCAACATTTGCCTTCTCTATTACTCACCAACTTTGGATGCTAGCTTCTAGTGATTCATCAATGAGGATTCCCAAATTCTTCTGTTCTGAAGCTTTCTGCAGTCTTTCTCATTTAACTAATATTCAGCCCTCTATTCCTCCTGCCAAAGTGCATAACATTGTATTTTCCCACGTTATATTTCATCAGTCAAGTTTTTGCTCACTTTTTCTTAACCCATCTGTATCATTTGCAGACTCTTTGTGTCATCTTGACCAATTGCCATCCCACATGTTTTTGTGTTATCTGCAAACTTGACTATAGTATATTCAGTTTCCTCATCCCAGTCATTTATGTAATTGTAAATACCGTATATACTCAAGTAAAAGTCGATCTCATGTAAAAGTCGAACCCCTATTTTTGTCCAAAAAACTGGAATTTTCCATATTTCTCCTGTAAAAGCTGGCCCTAGTTCTTCACAGATAACAGATCAACATTTGTGAGTCAAGGTATTATCCTGCATATAAATATTACGAGGAAATGATTTTTTTTGTTTCGTGCTATTATGTGTTTTGATGTATAATTCACACCAATTTGGTATGAAAGTTTAAGACACATCAGGTCAGAGTCAGGTGACAACCTCCCTTTCTGTGTTCCCCTGTAGCACTTGTGGAATACAGTCATATACCTAGTTCAGATTTTGAAATTTCTTCATCATTTTGTGTAAAAATGCCCTCCAGAAAAAAAAATACACGGCAGCAGTTAAACTGAAGGTTATTGAAGTTGCAGAGAAGACAAATAACTGTATCGCTGCAAATAAATTTTGTGTTTCGGAGAAACTTGTGAGAGACTGGAGAAAGGTATCGAACCGTCTTCAGACAATGCCAGAATGAAAGTTGCCAACAGAGGTAAGCCTAGCAAGTGGCCACAAATGGAGAAAAAAGGTTGCTGAGTGGGTACTTGAAAATCGTCAAAATGGAAGATGTGTTAGTCATGAAGCCATCCGAATCCATGCATGAAATGAATCAAAGGAGGATGAAATTTCAGATTTTAAGATAGGTGCTGGATGGTGCACAAGGTACATGAGAAGGCCTGACTTAGCACTTTGGCAGAGAGCTAATATTGCA